TCTAGGATGTTGTGCAAGGAACAAGACATCCACTGCTTTCCTGGAGAGGCTCCTCTGGAGATAGAGACAGACAGAAAGACCGAGACACTTTATTTTTCTTTTCATATTTTCATTTTTTCCCTCTTTATGTCCATGAATGTTCTTCTCCTGTCCCGGTGTTTGAATACTTGTATGTGCTAACCGCAGCCCGGCCCTGCTGTCACTTAGCCAAATTACACACATTTAGATCTTTTCATCTTTCTTTATGAACCAGCCTCTCCAGTCTATTTAATCATGTTGGCAGTTCTTTTCTAAATTCCACCAATTTAAAAATAAGCTAAATTCTCCACCCCTGTGGATTGAAAAGCAGGCGGTTGCGAACCCATGCAGAGCTCCAACCTCGGTTTGAGGCATGTAGAGGAAAGATATCCCCCTGTCTGAAACTCTCTATTCGGCAGCTTGGAAAGGGCCAGGGGAGGAGGGAAAAGGGGAAGGAAGCTTGGCTGGTCAGAGTTGGAGACCAGGGTGACCCTGCTGGGGTTTGTTTTCAAATTAGGTGTTGGTCCAATTTGGTTCAGAATCCAAAATGTTCAAAAATATATGTCCAACGAATGGAAAGTATTGCTTCCATGTTTGCTACCTAATCACCCAACCCTGAGGAAGCACCCGAAGTTACTCATGTCCATATCATTCCAGAGAGATTTTATGCACATGCGACCAAATATGCATTTATGTGTGACTGTGTATCTCCCCACCGCCATTTTTATACCAATGATGATATACTATATGCATTGCTCTCCTCTTCACTCTTTCTCTTAGCAATATATTTTGCAGATCTGGAGATTGCTCCATATTCACACATAAAGAGCTCCTTCAGTACTTTTTATGGCTATATAGTATCCATACCATAAATGTTCAATAATTTTGTGGTCCACAGTTAATGGGTATTTATATTCTTTCTGACTTTTTATAGTCACTATCAACAAACATCTAAGGGTCTTAGCAGTTTTTTATTCCTGGCAATGCCTCTCTGAATAACTTACACATTTTGTACATGTGTGAGTAGTTACGTAGGATAAAATTCCTGGGTTGAAAGGTGCGTGCATCGGGTTTTCTAATTCAAACCTGACTGATTCGTCAACTTACACACCCATCACTAACATGTGAGAATATGTTTTTCCCCATACCCACACACATACACAACTTTTTAGAACTTTGACAATCTGATAGAGGTGAAAAGTAAGTCATCTTTGTGTATTTCTGTTATTATGAGTAAGATTGGTTTCTTTTCACAAACTTAAGAGCCACTTGAATTCCCTTTTCAATGGACAGTCCATTTCCTTTCTTTATATCTCTATCGAGTTGTTGGTCTTCTATTGATTTAGAGGGGCTCTTTCTATATTAGGGAGATTCACTCCTTGTGATTTAAGTTGGAAATATATTTTCCTATTTGTCATTCTTTTCTATTTACCTAGCTGAATATATTCACTTTTTATTTCATAAGTCCTGGGTTTTGGTTTTGTGAAATACTTAGAAAAGTTTCTTCCACTTTGAGATTGCTTTTTCAAAATTCCGTGGTTTCTTCTAGTATATGTATAAATGACAGGTAAATCAAATTTTATGTTTTCCAGAGGGCTACCCAGTTGTCCCAATATCATTTATCAAATAATCTATCTTTTGTCCATAGATTTTAAATGTTACCTTTAACATATATAAAATCTCCATTGCATTAGTGCCCCCCCTTTTTAAAAAGATTTTATTTATTTATTTGAGAGAGAGAGAATGAGAGAGAGAGAGCATAAGTGGAGAAAGGTCAGCGGGAGAAACAGACTCCCTGCCAAGCAGGGAGTCCGATGCGGAACTCGATTCCAGGACTCCAGGATCATGACCTGAGCTGAAGGCAGCAGCTTAACCAACTGAGCCATGCAGGAGCCCTTGTGCCTCTTTTTGATTCTAGTTTGTTCCAGTTATCTTTCATGCCAATGTCACATTATTTTAAATATCTGTATCTTCAAAAATTGTGTTTTTTTTAAAGCTTTTATTTATTTATTTGACAGAGATCACAAGTAGGTAGGGGGCAGGCAGAGAAAGGAAGGGAAGCAGGCTCCCCACTGAGCAGAGAGCCTGATGTGGGGCTTGATCCCAGGACCCTGGGATCATCAAAAATTGTTTTATTATTTTAAAGAAAAGACTAGAAGTCCACCCAAGAAACATTTAACTATTTACTTCTGAGTGATGGAATTAGAAAAAACTTGTCTTCCTTCTTCTTTACTATTTATAGATTGTATAATAAACTGGATTTTATAAACTAACTGGTTTTAGTTTATAAAATAATACACCAAAAATAAATAAATAATTATTTGATTGCTCAGTAAAAATAATTTCCCTTTATTACTCTTGTCTTTCATAATTTTCCCATTTTCCTTGTTGTTGTTTTCTTTCATATGAATTTTAGAATCAGGTTGTCTAGTTCAAAAAAAAGTCATTTTGACATTTAAAAAACCAGGGCATGTGAAGTTTATAGATTTAGTGTAAGTAGGCATCTTTATGATATTGCTTGCTTCTCCCCAAGAATATGATGTGCTTTTTTATTTGTCATATGTGTTTCTGTGTGTGTGCTCATTTTAAAGTTTTATTTAAATGCTTACTTAAAAATTATATTTAAACTTGCTTAAATTATGCCCATTTCTTGAATTTTTTTTATTGCTATTATAAACTGAGATCTTCCATCATCTCCTCTAAGCAATTGTGTGTGTGTGCTTTTACTCTCTGCTGACTGAAAATATTTTGTAATCATCAGGCATATTCCCAAATTCTCTTCTGTTCTGTTCTTCTGTTCTATTTCTCTTAAAGTTTCTTTCAGGCCAGAGTTTCTCAACCCTGTTCTATTGGCATTTTGGTCCAGATAATTCTTTATTGTTGGGGAGCTGGGGATGGGGAGGGAGGTATTATCCTGTGCATCGAAGGATGTTTAGCAGCCTTCCTCTTCTCTGGTGGTGATGGTTGGTGGATTGCCTCTGATTAAGCACCATTGTTCTAGTCCTTAATCTAGGGAAGGTCTCCATTATTCCCACCCACTCCCTGCTCACTGCTTTATTAGGCACTGTTGGGTCTAATCACAAGAGTGGAAATAGCTAAAGCCCAATGTTCTGTTATGAGACCAAACTGTCTAGAAATAGCCATGGAGGTGATGGTTATTCATAGTTTATTGCCAAACTACATGTGGAAGTCAGTCACAGGCACAAATTTCAAGAATTTAAAAGTTAGGGGTGCCTGGGTGACTCAGTTGTTAAGTGTCTGTCTTCAGCTCAGGTCATGATCCCAGGATCCTGGGATCGAGCCCCGGATCGGGCTCCCTGCTTGACTTGAAACCTGCTTCTCTGTCTCCCACTCCCCCTGCTGTGTTCCCTCCTCGCTGTCTCTCTCTCTGTCAAATAAATAAAATCTTAAAAATAAATGAATAAAAGTTAAAAGTAACACAAAGAGGGAGGCAGAATCTATACTTCCATATCAAACAGCTTTGATCTCAAGTGCATGGTGTTTGGTACATTCTCTGGCTGGTTTGATTATTTGTTTTAAGATTTTATTTATCCATTCATGAGAAACAGAGAGAGAGAGAGGCAGAGGGGAAGGAGGATTCCCGCAGAGCAGCGAGCCTGATGCGGGACTTGATCCCAGTACCCTGGGGGACCATGGCCCCAGCCGAAGGCAGACATCCAACCGACTGAGCCACCCAGGCGGCCTTTCCAGCGGTTTAATGTGTGGCCACTGTCTTTGCCGTTGGCTTGGATCATAGCATCTCAGGCTTGGAGAGATACCATCATGTTCCTTAAGGCATGACTTTATGTCATCCCTTCAACACTCTCAACTATGCCTTACCCCTTCTGTGTTTTCTACTGTGCTGGGTCCATGGCAGGTGTTCAGTGAGATTAATATTTTGCTAATCTAATACTTTCAGCTTGACATACTTTGGGTTTTTCAGGGAAAACAATGTGGTGTAGGAGAAAACATTAATGTTGGAAATCAAAAAGTTCTGCTTTCAAGTCCTAGCTAAGAGCCATTAGATTATTAGCCATATATACAAATTACCTAAACTGTGTGAATGTCACCTGCAAAACCATTATAAATACACTAGCACTGTAGGGTTGCAGTGGACTTTGGATCAGACCACATATATAATGCATAAGAGCAGAGCAAGAGCATAATGCATTTTTAATCCTCAGGTAAAACTCAGGCAATCAATATGTGAACACTGTTATCTTCATTATTATTATGTGAATACAAGTTCTTTATCTGGAGAGCTAAGACAAAAACAATCTAAATTTTCTATTAAAAAATGTCAAAGTATACATTGAAATATTGGGAAACTGGTTCAATACTACTGAAGGTCAGATATTTCTGTAAACAACATTCCTATCATTTCTTACTTATTGAAGATAGATTTTTTTTTTTTTTTTTTTTTTTTACTGTAGCACCTAGCATTCCCGGGTAGTCTCCCATCCAAATCCTAACCAGGTCTGACCCTGTGTAGCTTCTAAGATTGGGTGTATTCGGGGTGGTATGGCCATAGACCTGGAGGTAGATTCTTTGAGAAACTAAATATTCTGGGCCTTAGGGTTAAATCAGTCAGCTTTATGGGTGTTCTATGGAGTTCAGTGTTGACTGCAGAATAACATATGATACGAAGGGGAAAACTTTGTTATTAATCATATTTTCTATGAAATGAAGCAGAGTTTAACAGTAGATTGTTTAGCTGACCTTGCCTCATCTTTTGTTAAAGCCTTTTTCAAGTTTTGGAATGTCATAAACATGTAGAAACATACATAGAACTTAAATGTACTGTATTCAAAGAAGTAATGGGTAACCTCTGTGCAGATTAAGAAATAGTACATTACCAGCCCTCAGAACAGTCCTTGTTTCTCTTTATGAATAGGTACCTTATAAATATAGTTTATGATTTGTTCTGTCCTATTTTAAAGTTTACATAAACGTAATTATTCTTTTGTGTCTGACTTCCTTAGGTCTGTCTGTATAATTTTTTTGCTGTATAATACTCCATTCTATGAAGGTAACATAATTTGTTCACCCATTCTACTGTTGATGGACAGGTGAGTTATTTTAACCGTGGGGCAAATATGAATCATGTTGCTATGAGCATTCTTGTACATGTATTGTAGTTGACAAGTACAGGAGTTGCTTGAGCTTAGGTACCCAGAAGTAGAATTCTGGCCATAGGGTATGTATAACTTCAAATTTAACAACAGTTTTCAAAACAGGTTGCACTAATCTGTACTCTCACTAACTGAGAATTCCAAGAGCTCTACATTCTCATCACATCTGACATTACTAGACTTAATCAATTCTATGAACCTGGTGAGCCTGGGGTAAAATTTCATTGTAGTTTTTTAATTTGCATTTCCTTAAGGTTGAGAGCCTGAGGATATGCTAATTGGCCAATTAAAAATGTCCTCTTTTGTGAATTGTGTCTTTAAGTCTTTTGGCTCTATCCCTGATGGACTGATTTTGTTTGTGTTTTACTTATCTATTTGTATGAATTCCTTTTATATTCTGGATGCTCTTCATTTGTCAGTTAGATATGTTGCAAATACATCCTCAAATTCTGTGATTTGTTCTTTCCCATTTTTTTGTGTTTTTTATGGATAACATAGTGCGTAGTTAAAAATAGTCAATTTATTAATCTTTTCCTCTTACCATTAGTGTTTTTATGTCATGTTTAATAAATAATTCTCATTATGAAGATCAGGAAGATATACTATTTTCTAAAGGCTTAAATAATTTGCCTTTTATATTCAAGTTTATAAATTGACATTTGGTATTGTTTGAGAGAGTGATCCAGTTTCATTTTCCTCTCTCTTCCCCACCATATGCATATTGAATTGCCCCAGCACCATTTATGAAAAGACTATAATTTCCCCACTGGCCTGCAGTTCCATTTCTGTCACATGTCAAATTCCTACATATATATGATATTTTGGGGGCTCTCTAAAAGAATTTTTGTATATTGATTTTGTATCCAGCAGCTTTTTAAAATTCTTATTAAATATCATTAGCTACAGATAATATTGGTTTTTCTACATATATAATCATGTCATCTTCCAATTATGAATTTTGGTTTCTTATTTTTTTTTTTACCAAGTATCCTTTTACTTATTATTTCTGTTTCCTGCCTTATTGTACTGGTTAAGACCTCTGTTGTAATGTTAAAAGAAAGTAGAAGATAGAAATTGTTGGACATCTTTCTTGTTACTTACCTCAAAGGAGATTTTAATTTATACACAATTAAAATAACTTCATTGTTATGTGTGATGTTGATGTATATTCCTTTGTCATATTAAAGATTTCCTTTTTATCATGAGTGGATGTTTAATATTGTCAAATAGCTTTTCTGCATCTATTGAGATGATAACTCACCAAACAAAATAATGTGCCTGGTCCTAAGAACATAATACAAAATAAGATATGATACCTAGCATCAATGATCCCAGAGTTTAGTGGGAAGATGGGCATGTTAACAAGTAATTTAAATGAACTGTAGTAAATGTTACAATAGATAGATGTATACAATGTCAGGTTGATGAAAAAGTAGGAAATGATTAAAAATGAATTAGGAGAAGGCTTCATAGAGAAAATGCCATTTGATCTGATTTTAAAATATTATCAGGAATTTTCCAGCTATAAAAAGAATGGAAGCAATTCATGGCAGAGGAAATAATATGTGTAACAGTCTAGTGGAATGAATGAACTTGAAGCAAATCCCCCTCAAGAGAGGCCTACAGACTGTGGCCCCTGTGGATAGCTTGACTGCAACCTCATGAGATCTGGAACCTCTCCTATAAGTCACTCTGCATCCTTGACGCAGAGAAGCCCTGAAAGAGTAGGTATTTGTCATTCATTTTTAAACTGCTAAATTTTGGGGGTAATCTGCTGTATAGCAATATATAATTATACAACATGCTTTTCTCATTTTTCCAAATGAGAAAAATTGTTCATTTTTCCCCTACTGATCTTAAGAACCTTTGTAATTTTAGGGGGGAACTGGGTGGCTCAGTCAATTAAGGACCTGCCTTTGGCTCAGGTCATGCTCTCAGGGTCCTGGGATAGAGCCCCACACCTGCTTCTCCCTCTCCTCCCTACTTGTGCTCTCACTCTCTCTCTCTCTCTCAAATAAATAAGTAAAGTCTTAAAAAAAAGAATCTTTGTAATTTTAGAAGGTTAGCTTGGACTCTCAAATATACTGTTCATATTTTCAACCCACTTTGTTATGTGTCTTTTAAAACTTTCGTTCAGTTTTTATGTCAAGCAACTTTTAATTTTCATGTCACATAGGGCAGTCTTTTTTCCTCTGAAGCTCTTCTGCTTTATTTAATATGTTAAAATACATGCATAATTTCAAAATTATTTTTTAAGAAATCAAGAATGCTTACTTCTATTGTTATGTCTTTCAGTTCACTAAGACTTTCTTCTGCAGTGTCTGATTTGCTGTCATTTCCATCCAATGTATTTTTCACTTCAGACATTATAGTTTTCACCCCTAGGAATTTGAGCTGGGTCCTTTTTATAATTTTCAAGTCTAAACTTGGAATGCTTTATCTTTTCTTTAGCTTCTTGAATGTGTAGATTGTATTTATAATAAATGAGTTAATGTCCTTACATACGAATTCTATTGTCTTAGTCATTTCTGGATCTGTTTCTATGTACTGACTTTTCTTCTCATTATGGTTCATGTTTTCCTGCTTCGTTGCATGCCTGGTAAGTTTTTTTATTGGATGCCAGACATTGTGAATTTCACCTTGTTGGATGCTGATTATTTTGAAATATTCCAGTGAATATTCTTGAGTTTTGTTCTAGGACACAGTTAAGTTACTTGGAAAATACTAATCCATTTAAAGCTTGTTGTTAAGCTTTGTTAGGTAGAACCAGAGCAGTGTTCAGCCTAGAACTAGATTTTCTCCATTAATAAGGCAAACTCTTCTGAGTACTTTACCTGATTCTCTGTGAGTTTTGAGGTTTTTCCACTGTGGTAGTTGGCAGCAGGAATGGTTTCCAGCCCTTTATGAGGCATTGTTCTCTCTAGACTTTTCACATGGTTGCTTCCCCAGTATCTGGGGCTTCTACTAGTTTACTCACACACATTTACTGAGCAGTACTGACCTGCATACTGCAAGGGGATCTTCTGAAGACCTCTGAGCTCTTTCCCTATGTTCAGCCCTTTTCTCTATAGTGGCTTCAGTGGCCTTGGTCCTTCTGGATTCCCAGCTCCATCTCTCCAATGTAGAAAGATCACTGAACTATACCTGGTTCCCCCTTCCCTATAGTGCAGCCTTGAAACTCTCTCTAGGCATGGAGCTGGGCAATCCTGGGGCTCGTGTCATCTGTGTCCATCTTTCAAAGATTACTGTCCTTTGTTGCCTGATGTCCAATGTTTTAAAATCTTGTTGTTTCTATGTGTCTTACTTTTTTTCAGTTATCTCAGGGTATAAGGTAAGATTGCTGTTATTCCTTATGTTCTTCTAAATCTTTTCTTTTATATGTTTATATCTTTATTCCATCTGGAATTTATTTTTGATGAGAGAAATATAGTTTTAATATTTTTTCTAATGGGATTAGCCAGTTGTCCAACATCATATTTTGAATTCTTCCTTCCTCTCCTCACCCACTTTGAAATGTCACCTTTATCATAAGCCAAAATTTCATAGATATTTGAGTCCACTCTTTATTCTATTCCTTTGGTTTTTCCTTTTTTATTAAATAGCAAACATTTTTATTTACTGATGTTTCAAGATATATTGTATTGTCTAGTAGAGTTAATTATCTCTCATTTCTTTTTATTTTCAAGATTTCTTTGAATATATATATACATCTTTTCCTGCATTTTAACATTTCTAAAATATTTTAATGTCATTTTCAATTTCCTCCCATATATCATGGATGTTATTTATTGAGATTACATTAAATTTATAGGACCCAGACAAATTTAAAGGTGGCAAAGAGAAGAATTGGGAGAGTTCTACCTCAATGACTTCCATTTTTATAGTAAAGAAAGAGGCAAAGACAAGCTGGGTGTGAGTAGGTTAGGATGAGACACAGACTAATTGAAAATAACAAAAGTTTGAGTGAATCATATGTGCTATAATGATTATAGCATTGGATCCCAGATAAGGAAAGCTCTAGTAGGTATGCAAAACATTGACTGAATATCACAGCACTAAAAATAAAGAGTCATCAATGGGTATTTGTTGTTGTTGTTTTGTTGTTTAAAATATTTTTTTTATTTATTTGTCAGAGAGAGAGAGAGCACAAGAGAGCAAGCACAAGCAGGGAGAACAGCAGGCAGAGGCAGAAGCAGGCTCCCTAATGAGCAAGGAGCCTGATGTGGGACTTGATCCTAGGACCTTGGGATCATGACCTGAGCCAAAGGCAGTCGCATCACCAACTGAGCCACCCAGGCGTCCCATCATCAATGGGTATTTGTACATCCATGTTTCCTTTCTCTGAAAATACAAAACATGCCACCAAGGAGTCCTGGAATCAGTATTTGTTATTACCAAACCATGGCACTCCTAAACAAATCTCTAGTCATCTGATTTTTTTTTTTTTTTGAAAATGCATGTCTCTCTAGTTTACTCATATCACCAGTGCCCAATATACTGTCTCTCCAGAGTTGGCACTGAATAAATACTAGGAGGTGAATTAGTTAACTTCTGAACGGCTTCTTCCTCTGACTTCTGCTTAAGGTGTTATGTTGCCATCTTTGCCTGTGTGCCTTCAGATTCGAGGTAGTTTTTATCCAGCCAAAAACTGGAATGACCAGTTCTCCAATTTCCTGGAAATGGGAAACTTATGGTGGATTTCTTCTGTTTTCAAACTGTTGTTTGAGAAAGGTCTTCTTCACTCTTAAATTTCTTAAATAATCTTTCCAAATTACCCAAGTTGTTCATGTAAGTAGGTTCATGGGAAAATTAAGATAAAGCAGAGTTCAAGATAAAAATACCTGATTTCTTTTAACCATTCAGAGGCATTCATCTCAAAAATAGTGAAAAAGAAGAGGAATCCACTTTGTATTAATGTGTGATTCTACTTAATTTCACCTTTAGTGAACTGCACACTCAACTATTTGAACCACTCAATGGTTTTGAAAAAGTAGACTCTTAGTTAAGTATGGTTTTCCAATAATTGTCTCTTGGGCTAAACATATGGTTTAGATTGGTGTAATACCGTCTCTCTAAAACATCTCAAGGTAGTTTCTGGTAGAGAAAAACAGGGTGTTCTGGTTTTAGGGTTTTCTTTTTCTGATAAAAGATAGATTTTTGAGCACTCGAGCAGTCTTCATGGGCACTCTTCCTGGGAAAAGGAAAATTTCAAAAATTCAGAACTCAGTTAGATGTTTCAAGTGTTAGACTGTTGCGAACTTTTGTAGACCAAGTAGATTCACTTGGAACCACTTCCTCCATGTTAACTTTTATTTTATTATTCTATTTTAAGGGAAGCAAGGCTTGAAGTGCTTTAATAGCCCCTTAGAGACTGTTTGGCTATTACATAACCCATAAAAAGCAATATTGGGATGATTTAAAGGGAAATGAATCAGAAATTTAAAGGTTCAATTTTCTTCATAGGACAGAAGATTTTTTTCTCCCCAGAGTCAGTAAAAATGGTCCTGAGGGTAAAACACATCTTGGGTTTTATTGACACAAAAATTATTCTATATGCATGTGCAGATAGTTATGTTTACTCTAAAATATTTTTACTTAAAAATAGACAGTCAATCTTGTATTTTTCTATGGATTAACAAGGCATCTAACAACTTTCCCAATTTCTGCAGAAAAGATAGTTTTCTTGCATCAAACCTGGTCAATTAAATTCTGTGGATTCTGTAAAGTCAGAGCCAGATGGAAATGTGATCTGAGTTCCCCAGGCGATGTTCTCATGGAATTTCCCTCAAAAGCTATTTTAAGCTTCTCAGTTACACCCAAAGTGGGTGACGGTGACATGGTCCAGAGTATCCGTGTAACTGGTTTGCAATATTTTAAATTTGGTTATTCCTCATACATTTAATTTTTATGTCTCCTTACATTTAAACAAGATTTTCATTTAGTCACTGGACTTGGAAGACATAAGCATTTCTATGTGGGTTAAGAAATGGCTTCATCCTCCACTGACGTAAAGGAAATGGGAGTCAGCAAACCTAATTTTTTCTCCCATGTTCTGCCCTGAGGGACACTGGACAAATTCTATCATGTTTCAAGCCCCAGTCTCCTCATCTGTAAATTAGGGTGATTAGATGATCTCTAGGATCCTTTTCACAACTGATGTACAATTTTGGTATGTAGTAACTATTTATTAAATGGTAACATTTGCTTTTATTGATGAACTTGCTTCATGGTGAGTATTGAAATACTTTAATTTTAAATTCCTAAAGAGCTTAGAAGTTGACTCAAAAGTCTTGGACGTGTTTGTTGCCTCACTGTGTACTACTGTGTAATCTTAGGGAAATTTCTGCATTTTTTAAAGAACCAATTTCTTCATCTGTAAAAAGGTAATACTACTAGACACAGTTTTTGTTGTTGTTGTTGTTGTTGTTGTTGTTGTTGCAAATAATAGAATCCACTCTGGTTAGGCTAGGCAGAAAAATAATTTGTACAAATATTAAGCAACTCCCAGAATCCCCTGGAGGGCAAGAAAACCAGACTTAGAAATGACGAGGCCAGAAACAACACCAAATCAGACTATAGAGTTTGCTCCAGTGAAAATACCATTGCTGCCAACACTTGACAACCACTCCTTTTCTTGGAGAGACACTGTAGCTTGCATTGATAATGCTTGGTCCTGGATGCCAGGAGCTCAGCCACTGAGCCCCCCATGTTCATGTTCAGCTGG